GAGCACCCCCAGCTCTCCCAGCCTTTCCTCTTCCATCTCTTCCATTTCTTGCACCATATCCATGGTATCCTCTGGACTATGGGGGCTAAAATTTCAGAGGAGGCCCTGGAGAGGCTCCAAAGGCTCCTCTGGATCCAGGCTGGGAGAGCTGGGGGTGCTCACCTGGAGAGGAGAAGTTCCAGGGAGAGCTCAGAGCCCCTGAAGGGGCTCCAGGAGAACTGGAGAGGGACTGGGGACAAGGGATGGAGGGACAGGGCACAGGGAATGGCTCCCACTGCCAGAGGACAGGGATGGATGGGATATCGGGAATTGGGAATTGTTCCCTGTGAGGGTGGGGATGGGTTGGGATGGAATTCCCAAAGCAGCTGTGACTGCCCCTGGATCCCTGGCAGTGCCCAAGGCCAGGTTGGACGGGGCTTGGAGCAGCCTGGGACCGTGGAAGGTGTCCCTGCCATGGCAGGGGTGAAACTGGATGAGTTTTAAGGTCCCTTCCAACCCAAACCATTCCGGGATTCCCTGCTCCCACAACCCCAAGAAATGAAGTGTCTGCTCTCAGGGATGATCCCAATTCCGTGCTCGCTTCCCTGATCCTCCAGAACAAAAACCGAGCCCCACTCTGGCATTGTGGATGCAAATCCCTCCCTGCCAGCACTGCCACCCCCAGGCTGAAATCAGAGGAAATTCATCAGCCCTGTCCAGTTCCACATTCCCTGCTGGGAATGGCTCCATGAATAATGTGGATCTGCAGGGTTAATGATGGAGGCTGGGACAGGAGCTGGCCTGCACTGGGATCTCCTTGTCCCATCACAAATTCCCCCAGCCCCAAGTCTGCCTGGCTGTGCTCATTCCCCAGAAAATTGAGAATGATCTAAACAGGAATTCAGTCCTGAATAAGAAAGCAAAAGTTGTTTAATCTTAAGTCATGCAGAAACCCTTGCACGACTTCCTTCTGTCCTTGGGGACACATCCTGAGCTGAGCCTCCAGCAAAAGGAAAAGGGGAGGGGGAAAGGAGAAAAGGAAGCAAAAAGGAAAGGGGAAAGGGGAAAGGGGAAAGGGGAAGAGAAAGGGAATGGGGGAAAAGGGGAAAAAAGGGAAAAAGGAAAAAAGGGGGAAAGGGGGGGAAAGGGAAAAAAAGGGAAAAGGGAAAATAGGGAAAAGGGAAAAAGGGAAAAGGAAGAAAAGAGAAAAGGAAAAAAAGAAAAGGAAAAAAG